AATCGTGCAGTTCTGCTGCCCTTGAAGCCATACGTTGGCTGCTTGGTGCAACCCGGGTGAGCGCACCTCTTGCTCCTGAGGTCGACCATCCCGTCTGGTGCGTGTTTCACAAAAACCATTTCGTGTGGGTCCTTTCATCACCGAAGCGAGCCAGCGTGGTGCAACCAGATTGATGGCACTTTTTGGACTTAACGTTCACTAGTCCTGCAGGTTTCCCATGCTTCGCGTAATATGTTGCCTTGTCGGAACCCTCCACGCCATACGTCGGATGCCGTTTGTTGCAAGTTGGATGGGGGCACGTTCTCACAGCAAAGTTTACCTTTAATTTCATCCGTGCTGTGCTTCGAGCAAAATTCTGCCATCTTTCTGCTGGCAGTCTGAACGCCGAATGTAGCCTTGAGCCAGCAACCTGGGTGCCTGCAATGCGAACGCGACGGCAGAGATAACGGTGAAGTGGAACTGCGGACAGAAGCTCCGTCTTGCCCCAATGGTTGAGTCCCAGACTCAGGAACTGGCACGCTGGCAGCGGCAGTATCATCTCCAGCAGCAGAAGAGGCAGCGGTCCCATCTTGGCCAGGAGCGGTGAATGTACCAAATCTCACGACGGCGGGACTGGATTCCGGCGCAACGCTCTCTGGCTCCAGCTCTGCTGCTGGTGCCACCGATGCTTGACGTGGGGCAGCTGGAGGAGGAGGAGGAGGAATGTTCAGATATTCAGAATGAAGTGGATGGAGGAACCGCCTGTTGAAGTACAGCGCATTACTGCTGTAGGATGTGTGTAGTAATATCGATGCAGCTGTATGATTGCTGTATGCAATTTGATACGTACATGCGGTGTGACAAGTGACGTTTGGTAGAACGTAACACGTAGCGACGAGTTATAGGGAGGAGGTCGTAAATGATTTGATTGTTTATCACAAGACTAATTGTAGCGAAATCACGAGGTGTTGCGAGCCCCACCAGGCTCACTCCCAACTATCCCTCTTCTACCGATCTCCGCAAGTGAGCTAGGCTCCGGTACCACCGGCGGGCAAATAACGAAAGTCCCACTGAGGCAACAATGATACCAACTTCAATCTCGACGACTGCACACAGGCTTAACCGCTTGCAGACGACCCTTGGGTAAAGGGCACCTCGATACTACAGATTTCTACATCGCCTACTACTAATATGCAGAACTCGGCTGGATGGACGAGTGCAGAAGAAACCAGGTCCAAAGGCATGAGGGCCTACGTACGGCAATAGCAAAAGGTGTACAGCAGATACACTATGTATGCAAGCCACAAAGGTTGCCCGCAGTTTTCCAATATGTAGTCTATCGATCAGAAAAATAACTTTGACATCACAGACTATGTAGGACACCGACACTGCTGTGTACATTCATTCGTCCCCGCTTAAAAGACACACAAAATAAGTAAACTCCCCGCTTTAAGGACACGAAAAATCTCAAAAAGCAGGGTCCCACGCAGATATGAAATATTGGGGGGGTACCCTTTTCATCAGACGGAACCCCCAAAGTTATGCTGCCGCACACCTGTACTATTGAGTGCAAAATTGTTTTGGTATGTTTGTCTCCTTGGTTCATTATCCGTGAAATTATGCTTGGCTTGGTAAAAGTATACCATTCAGTATCTTCGTGGTTGTCATTATGACCTTTGGACAGCGATGGGGTCCCATCTGTTCTCGGCTGTCTTTGTTTTTCTGGCGCCGCCTGCCGACACTTGTAGGTTCGTTTCATGTACATAGGTTTGCTCCTTTCCTGCTTGGCAGGTAGCCTGTGGCAGAGACGGTGATCGCTTCAGAGCTACCACGACGGTTGGTTACTTTTTTCGGGGGTGCATCTATCTCTGGGCAAGGCTTTCAACGTGGGGGCGACACCAAAACAATGGAAATTACGAAATTACAAACAAACACAAGAGCACTGTTGTTATTAATTACCTCATCCTGCAGCACTATATCGACTGTTGGCGGAAGTAAATGTAGGGGGCGGGGAGTTACAATGTATGTCATGGTTCAACAGCGCGAACGACGGGGAAATGCACGGAAGTACGTCCGACTTTCACTCATTACCGCCACGTTGTGATCATACGTTTATGGTGTTTTCGTTTCGTGCTAGTATGCCTGCCGCCATTGCTCGGCTCTGGACGTACAGTTGGGGCCCGCGAATAAGAAACCTCAATCTCGGGTCGAGGCTCAAAAGGCGTATTTCTGGAGCAAACACCAGCATCAAGGAGTTATTTTCTAATATTTTGTATGTTCCGGCTGTCGGGTCCTCCTGGTTTTTCTTAAATGACTGTTTCTTATTGTTAGGCTCTATGGTCTGGCTTTGCCTACCGGTATAACTCAGTTTGTTGTTGTTTCTTACGTTCTCCATAATTTCGACAACCAAATCCATCCTCCGTGCACCAACGTCTCCAAACGGACAAGTGCGAAGCACAGGTATGGAAGAAACACCTCCTGACGATTCGTCTAACTGGCGCCGCCAAAATACTGGCCGGGGGCGGTGGGTGTAGGTAGCAGAGTGCGCGTGTGTGTTTCTTATGAGGCACAATGAGCTCCGGTCCCCTAGTTTCTTATCCCTCATGCCTCTGTGGGCGTGTGTTTCTTATTCGCATGTTTCATATCTTTGCGTCGGTTTTGAGGTGTGTTTCTTTGAGTAGTCAATATTTCATAATGCTAATGAAAAGTTGAAGCTTTGTTTTTCTAAACATTTTTTCTTAACGGCGGGCCCCAACTGTATGTTACACCTCCTTCGACCCCGGGGACAGCGAGTTATCACCCCCGGAATCTTAAACATGACACTTCCCCGCGTTACACAGCTTTCTACTCTCCTAGTTCACATACAGTAGTCCCTCCGCAAAAAAAAAAGTTGAAAAATGTTTGTCAGCCATTGGTCGAGGGGCTACAGTCCCTCTAAAGAATCGGAGCTCCTTGCCAGACAAAGGGTGACTTGTAGGGTTGGGTCCTGGATCAGTATCTACTGGCAGTATTCCTGTACTGGCAGTACTCCTAGTACTGGATTTGAGACCGCCAGTACAGCCAGTACTTGGCCCACTTACGTACGTCCTACACTATGCCTCCTAAACCACATGGAAACCCACCGAATTGCGCCGCATCAGAGGGGAGAGGCTGTGAGACGAAGGCACGCACACACAGAGGGAGTTGGGTACAAACGATGGAACAATATATCAGTAGCAGCAACACGCCCTCTGCAGACCCGGACGGCGGGTCTCAAAATCCCGAAGCCGCCGCTGCCTCGAGCGAACCCGGTGAAGCAGAAGTAGTGGCGGTCGCGCCACCTCCTGCTGCTGCTGCTGGCCGTCAGCAGCCGCAGCAGAACAAACAGCGCGAGGAGAAGCTGCAACGGGTGAACCGCGAGCTTCGTAAATCAAAGCCTTTGAGTCGTCTTTGTTGCAGCTGCCACTATGCATTACACGTTGTCGTTGCATGAGATTGTACGGGTTTGCTCTGCCTTTTTACTTGCGCATTTTCTAGCATTACGATTTCCAACTGAAATATTTGTCCATCGCTTCAAGTAACTTGTCAAGTACGGATGGGTTCAAATGAAAAATGCAGTCTACTAGGTTTTCAACTTGGTTCAACATGTTTCGGAAGCAGCTTGTTCATGAATATGTTCAATACGCTAGCTGTCATGCTGTCATGTGATGAATATCACCGACCAACTTCAAGATATCAGCCAAAAATCAATAATCAGATCTGATTATTGTACCTTTAGTCTCTTCAGTTTTAGTGGTTCACACACGAGTCCGGCACCATCCGAGTGGCCCAAAATCACCCAAAAAATATGCTCTAGTGAAGCCAAATCGCGTAAAAACACGCCTCCGGCGGGGCGCCTCCAGCGGGGCCCTCCGGGGGCGCCTCCGGCGGGGCCCCCTCACCAGCCGGGGGGGGCCGGTGGTCGCGGCTGCGCCGCGGCTTCGCCGCGACACCAGTGTACTGTTTGGACCCAGTGTACGCAGCCAGTACACCTGGTACTGGCGCTGGCGCGCCAGTACCCAACCCTAGTGACTTGGCTTCAGCATGAAAAGTGTCCCCAAAACACGTGGAGACACCTTTCATACTAAAAGCCAAGTCAGCAATTTTTCCGTTCCAGGCGAGGTACGGCAGTTTTACGACCTACGGGGCACGCGGGTTAGGAGATGTACAGCAAGTCAGAGGCCTAGACTAATGCTGTAGGAGAGGCATCACACAGCTAAATAGCATATCACACAGCGTACGACCTCAGCCAAGCATGATAGACCAAGGGTTCTCACGTGCGTTGCACACAGCGGAGTCTAGGGTGACTACAGTGCGGTAAATAGGTACTTGAGTGCTGTGTCCCCAAAGTGTCCCCCTTTGGGCTTCCAGTCTACTGTCTACTATGCATAGGAGGAGGGTGAAAAGCGGGGGACGACTTCCTATTTTACGTCTACCGCAAAACACATCCAAATCCAGGTTACGACACATTCGCCAACGGTCAGCGTTGGAGGGAAGAAAAAGTACCATTGGGTAGATAAAAAGAATCACGCCCAAGACACACAACCGCACATCATGGAGTTCGCAACACGAATCATAATAACTGCTGGGAGTTGCCGTCCTCGCTGAAGACGAGAGAGATCATTCAAAATTCAAAAATGGCAAGCTTGGGGAGAGGACCACCAACCTGTAAGGTTAATCATGAATGTCGCGGGTTGGAGAACGATCGAGCAATTTTTCTAGCTCCTTGTCTTGTTCCGCGATGCATACACAAGAATGATCCGTCCCTGGGTGTTGCGCTCTGGCCTGCTGCGGTGCTGGTGTGCTGCTGGCGGCTGCTGGCTGCTCGGCTGCTTACGGGGGGCCCGCAGAGGACAACATACCTCCCCCTAAATTGCAACCCGTTCCTTCGACGGACTCTCCCTTCGCGAGATGTGCCTCTGATGGGCAACCAGCAACAACAAAAGGCAACAGGCAGAGAGAGGCGGCTTGTGGGATAGGCAAGACGACAGCACCAACGAAACATGGCCGTCCCCGTGGAAGAGTTTTTCGCTGGGTCGAGCAGCACAGCGCTGAAGAGGGTGCACCGCCAGCGGTTGATGGCGTTCGGCGTTGTGCTCGTGGGGTGTACGCTCGTCTCTTGGATCCTGGTGATCTTGTGTTGGCAGCTCATGCCCAGCACGCGCGGGCCCGGGTCTAGGATACTAGCGGATTTCCTGTCCATCATGGTGAGAAACAACGTACGATTTGCCGCTTTGGAGAATTGTCAGTGTGAATTTCCGAGTATGTGGGAAACGCGGACATTTTTGAATTCGCGACATGGACACCAGCACTGCTGTAGCAAGGCCACCATCACCGAGCGGGGTGTGTAGACTAGAGAGGCAGAGAGAGGAGAGTACTGCTGTTGAGGCATAGCACTAGCGTTGCATGCGCGCAGTAGAGCAACAGCAGTAGCAACCGGTGCTTGACTGTTTGCCATCATGCGTTGTGACCATTGTAAAAAAAATACCTAGCAACCAAATATTGAAAAATAGACCAACGTCCTGTCTCCAAGAGTGGTTGTGAAGATGACATTTTGGGCGCATCATGACCGGTATCGCACTGACTTACAGCAGTGTACATCTTTGTTGTTGTTGTTGTTGTCTTGTTGTTGTCTTCACATTAAAAACCGTTCCGGTCTCCACTCAGCACCTTCTAATGTCCGTACTATACTATACTATACTATACTATACTATAACAGTACAACTGACGCGGATGCCTTGCGTGGTCGCAAGCCAACTGCCCCCCATAGTTGGAGTACTTGATTCAACAGGTCGGCCGGCCGCCCCTGGGGTTCAGCTGGTCGTTTCGCTACCTTCCTTCTGGTGTTTGGGTTTGCGTTCGAATCTCGACGCGGTCACGTGACCTGGAATCTTTCTCACAGCATGCCCGAACGAGGTGGATATGTAACGAACGCGAATCGTGTGTAATACATCAACTTCGGGCCTCTATTTAGCTGACAGTAGGGCTGGCCGATTCACTCGCACTACATACAATAGCGGGCAGGCACCTGCCCCCCTCAAAGTATGACACAACTTGATAGACTATTCCACCTGTGCCGAGACTTTTCACCCGCCTAACTCCAGCCACCCGTCCTATAGAGGGCCCACGGTTATGTGCAATGGAGCGCAGAACACGGACTCCTGTCCACATGTACCAAACTCGACTTTACATTCGTCCTGGGTGATGGTGGACGATGCCCACGCTACGGTGGCAGCGTGTACCCGGGACGTGAAATCGATGCCCGCTACTAGAGCGGACTTGTTTTTTCTGCGGAATAGGTGCCAACGATGTAAAGTTTGCGATGATATGAGGCCTCCTGCTACGAGTACCCTGGAGACTACACCCAGTGTTGTTTCCCCCGCATTGACGTTTCGTCGGCAGTACGCGCAGCAATACCCCGGGACATGAAAAAGTTTCTACACAGCAGTTGGGCAGGCGGGAAGGTCTGTTGTTCCTACCCTTCTCTCCCTCCGTTAGGGCTGGGAAGGCTTGTCACGAGTGGGTGCTATCTCCAAGAATCTCTTCTCATCCACGGAACCCCTTCGTGGTTCCTTTTGTTCCATGATTTCGGCATTATGTTACTCCGCAAAGGGATTTTTTTTTTTGACAACGGCCGAGAACAGTGACCAATGGATCAATCGCCGTTAGCGATTTGGGGTAGAAGAAGTTTGGAGCGCAAAAAGCACACGCATAGGTGTGTGAGAAAAGACTATCGCATACAACTGGTAAAGACGTCACAATCACGAACATTGAAGTTCCTTATTAATTTTGTGCGGGTGGTCGGCGAAATGAATGAACGAACGAACGAACGATCGATCGAACGAATCACGCGAGCAGGTGGTGGCGCTGTGCCACAGCCTCGCGGTCTTCTCGCGGTACCTCGTGTGCGACGCGGACGACGCCCCCCGCCGCCGTGCCGCCTCCGGGGGCTTTTCCTACTCCGCCCTCGCCCTCCCCAACCTGGGGCAGGGGCTCGCGACGGTCGTCGCCCACTGGCTCATCGGCATGGCTCTCGGGTTCTTCGCGTGGAACTTCGCGGCACCTAGGGGAGGTGAGTCGAAGAAGAAAGGATGCCATCATTTGCTGTGAGTCTGCCTGCTGCCTTCTTTGTATATAGGCGTAAATGACAGCAGCGCTTCTATAATCGAATCGTGGCTGATGGCCCAAGCTCTCAACTCCCTATTTGGCCAAGACAAGCACCAAACGACTACTATCTAGGCCAAGACAAGTACCAAACGACTATTCCCCGCCCTCGCCTCCTCCTCCTCGCCTCTCGCAGCGGGGGGGATTGCGGAGACCTCCGGCGCGCTCGGTGGCCTCGTGGCCGGGGGCGCCGCCTGCAGCGCGTGGTCGGCGGTCTGCTTCCTGAGGGAGAGGAGGCACCACCTCCGCCTCGGCCTGCCCAGCGGTGCGGCCATGCCGGCCTACCTCCGGGGCGAGGCCTACGGGAGCGTAAAGGAGGGGTTGCTTTGCGGCGCCGTCATCGGGGCGGGATATCTGTGAGTGATGGGTGGCGGCTGTCGTTCGGTCGGTGGTGGGGAGAGAGGGCGTGTGTTGTGCGTGCGCGTTTTGCGGGTATCTGTGAGCGACGATGGTAATTGTCGGTGGGGAGAGAGGGCGTTTGTTTTGCGTGCAGTGTTTTGCGTGTGTGTGTGTGTGTGTGTGTGTGTATTTTTTTTGCAGGCATCGATCTGCCCCTGTGGGCCAAACGGTGGCCACGTTGGCGAAGGCGTGTGGCGGACGCAAGTCTCGGCGGGCTGGGAATGAAAAGGCTGCATTGTTTTTCGTATCCAGCTGGAATCTTTGCGCGGGCTTTGTTTCTCCGTGTCCCCGGAGACTCCGACCGACGGATGGTGTGAGTGTGTTTTTGTGTGTGTGTTTCTTTGATTAGCATCGACAGCGCCAACCGACTGACCAATGACAACAGGCCGTCACTCTCATGCCTGATAGCGGTATCAAAATCGCGGACACGCGTTCTAGCCAAAGGGTTCTACGGACAGGCAAGGGGCAGGAGTTGGACGACATGTGTGTTCCATTAGTTCGCAACGACCGCGCTAACCGGCTGGCTAGTGAAAAAACGTGTGTTTGTGTGTTGTGTGTGTTTCTTTGACGAAGCATCGGCCGGGCCGACCAGGCGACAAACGAGAAAAACCCAGGCCTTTCGGCGGCATAACAGACACGTTCAGAACGCCTTTGTTTGCTACATCCCCCGATCGGGGAGGGGGCGCGAACGACACTGGATGAGAAGCGTGTGCGAGTAGAATCGGGATATGGACCCAACTAGTGAGAAAAATCGTTACGTCATAGCCTCAGCGGATGAAGCACAGAAATTTCCAGGGAGAAATGTACCGGGGAGGGGGGGGGATGGTTAAACGGCGGAGTTTTGAATGACAATGTGTATCATGCCGGCAAGCAACCCTCAGCGTTGCCCCAATCTATGCCGGCTTGAAGTTGCGTGCTGTTGAGGCAACTAAATCTGGCTGGTGTGGTTGTTTGATGTTGGGCATCCTTCCGGGATTTGTGTCCGAACCGCGACCCTTCGGCTTTGAGGCCTAGAAACAGAAAGGCACGAAGGTGCATCAGTCACACGACTAGAGGGGCGAGAACGAGGCCTAAACTAATTTTCGCGGTAATTTTGTGTCAGAACACAAACTATTGGCTAGGTAACAGATGCCCCCCCCCCGCCCGCCCCTCCCCCTCCTACATATTTCAACACCTTTGCCTCGTGTACCTCTCAACATTACAAGTCTGGCATGAACTACAAGGGCAATTGTTTCCAAAGCGAAGGCGGCGTGACAACTGATGCCTCCGACCCTGTCTGCGTCCCACACGTGCTGCTGCTGTTTTTTATCTCTGTTGTTGTTGTTGTTGTTGGCATCGCTCGTTTGTTCAATAAGAGTGCTGCGGACCGTGAGCGAACTGCTTCCCGGGAGCATGGTGGGACGCGCGCTGTCGGTGTTGCTCGGTCTTCCCTCCGCTGCTTCTACCTCCGAGGGAACGGTGGGTGATGTCGTGTCGTGTGGTATGTCTGCATACTGTGCGACCAAAAACTATCCGCCAACCGCGACGTCGGTGCTGCTGCTGCTGCTGCTGCTGCTGCTGTTTGTCTGTCTGTGCATCTAGTTACCCACGTCGCAGTATACCACTGCCTTGGATTTTGAAGGGTCCGGGAGTTTTTGGTGCATGCGATTGCGGTCTGCTCTTGATTGTGACGACGTCTGGTCACAGGCCAATGTTGCGTGAAGAGGGGAGCGTGTTTGTGCCACATCATATGCTACCGCGCTTGCCTGGCTTTTCCCGGCGGGGGGCGGGGGGCGGGGGAGGGAGGGCGCTTTTTCCGCTACCGAGTGTCCTTTCCTTTGCTCTTATCTGTCAAGACCACTGCCGCTGCTGTTGCTGTTGTTGCGTGTTCACGAGGCGTCATCTGCTGGTCCCAGCTATCTATCGGGCTTTTTTTTTATCCTCGTGGGCCGTCAACGTCGCCGTTGCTTCTCGATTCACGGTACCGCTGTCGCTTTCGCTTCTGCCATTTGTCTAGGACGGCGGGGGTGGCCAGCCCGTGGTGGGAGAGGGAGTGGGGCGCCTGCTAGTCGCCTACCTGATCGTGGCATCGACGGCGGCCAACTTTGCGCTGCACGGGTTCCTGACCAAGGTCATGAACTTCATCATCGTGGCGGTGAGAGCTCGTTTCGTTAGGCAGACAGACCCGTTGCTGGTATCCGAGCGTGACGTTTGATTGTTGACGAAAGCAAAGCAAGCCTAGGACCCGCTTCGGTCGCGAGATGAGAAGGATCGAATGCGTCTCGGGGTGATTGATGGCGTGCATCACTTGGGAGAGGGGGCTGAGTGGGCAGGAATCATTCGGGGTAGGTGTGCTCTGCGGCCTACGGTGGATGTGCTTTTGGTACAACGGGCGTTCCGACTGACGGCGTTGAGGGGCGGAGGGAGAGCGGCAGCCCCCCGCCATGGCCGACCTTCCCCTCGTCCTTGCTGATGCGTGCCCTCCATAGAAGTGTTGCCTCTCTCTCTCTTTCTCTCTCTCTCTCGCTGCGTCAACAATTGGCCAATCGTCTTTGCTGGAGGTCACGTTTCGCGCGTGCCTACACACCTGTGGTTTGTTACCGCGGTGCCATGCGCACGCCACGTCCCCGACAGCAGTAGGGTCAGGGAGGGCCGGCCATGGTTGGCTCGACGGTCACACCGCCCCTCGCCCCTCTTGCGTCGATCGATCGCCGCCACGCTGTCTCCTGCTGCCAGCTGCTACCGTGTTGCTGTTGTTTTGCTACTAGCCGCCTGTTGTACCTCTCGTCGGGTACAAGTGAAACAAAACGAAAGAAACGTTTTCCGAACCGCCGCCACCTTTGATTGGCCATCGGTGATGGTCCTGTGGCAACAATACTCCGCCCCCTCGAGGATGCGTAGTCTAACAGCTAAGGCATGCAACCCCCTCCCCCCCCGCGCCCGCCATGCCTAGTCGCAAGACTTCCTGCGGCTTTGGCAGGCCACCGTGGACGCCGCGAGCGACGAACAGGACCGGGCGGGAGGACGGCCGGCGGCGGCGGCGAGCGTGCCCGTCAGTCCCGCGGCCATGCTTCTAGACTCGCTTTCGATCGGCCACGAGACCGTGCTGCGGACGGCGGAGAGGGACTTCCTTCAGGCCAGGGGGCTTGACGGCGGTAGCGGCGGTGCGGGGGGCCATGGAGCCTCTTCTTACACCAGAGGTGACTGAAGTACTGTGTTGCACTCGTGGTGGTTAGCTTGCACCCCACTGCTGTGGAAGAGGAGGAGTGGGTGGGATGTTGGGTGTACGTATGCACCATTTTTGTTTGACGAGAAGGGACGGTCGTAGCAGTGGTAGTGGCGGCTTCGGCGGAGGTGAACATCCCTACATCGTTGAAGGCAAGCAGCGTGAATGGGGCTGGCTTGACAGCTACTGCCCCTGCTACTACTCCTGTGCTGGCGGAAGTCTTGTCGCGAGTGGTTCGACCCGCTCGCCATCTTGTTGCTGTCGATGTGACGGCCGCAGGCGCGTGTTGCTTGTTTGTTTCTTTTTGCTCCCGTGGGTGTGTGCTGTTGTTTTGTTGCTGCTTGGAGGCCGGGGACACCACGTGCTGTCGCGTTGCAACGCGGACGACATCCCTCACATTTTCGTTGTCCACGCAACGCAAACGGCATGCGCTGTAAAATTCCGCACTACATATTTCCCGATGGTCCCCCTTGCCACCCTCCCCCCCCCCCCTACGCTGGTTCCTGGGTGAATTTTCAGCCTTTCCTTTATTGTGTTTTGTGGTGGGTGCCTCCTGCCCAAGCGTCGTACGCCACCAACCCCACCCCGCCCCATCTCAGGGCATGACACCACACCCATAGACAACATGGCTCCTGCCCAACGTCATACGCCACCCCAATCGTTATGCCGTTGGTGTTGACTTCAAGTTTCAGACAACAAAGAAAAAAAATCTCCCTCCTCTTTCTGCTCGCAGCATGACACCACCACACCCATACAATGTGCTCATCCCTGATCGCCGTGGGAAGCAGGCCCGATGTCCGACTGGACGGAAGAGACGGAGCTGCAGAGACGCGCGGTCGCTCTCGCTTGCATGGAGCCACCGCGGACGGAGCGGCGGCGCGGAGGCGGGGTGGGGGTGGGGGTGGGGGGCATCATCAGAATGCCCTTTTCGTACACCAGGGGGGTTGTGGTCCCCGTCTGGGCGCAGGTGGCCAAAGCCCAGGCCCTGCAGTCGCTCGCGCTCAAGGCGCCGTGCGACAAGAACCTGCGGGTGGCGCTGTACGAGGTCAACATCGCGCAGGTGCGGTTTTGTCTGCTGCTGATAATGATGATGATGATGATGGTCGCGGTGGTGCGTACTGCTTGTTTTGCCCGGAAATATGACATGGGTGCGTGAATGCGTTTGGCATCTCGCCATGCGGTAAATAGCTTGTTTCCTGCTTGCGGCCGGTGAAGTTGGGCCACGAAAATAAATGGCCCATGTATGCAAAGCGCGGCGAGTTTTGGTGACACCGGTCTCGTGCGGTCTGTTTCGCTTGCACCGTCTGTTCATGTCCTTCCCCAAGGGGGGCTGTAGAGTTTTTTTTCGTTTCTATACAACGTAGCATATCTGTAACTGCTGTTGCTGTCGCTGTCTTTTGGCCGTATCACCAATCTGATCATCGACTGTTGCAACTTGTTCCTTTTCCGTCTCGTGCCGGAAGGTGCTGCGCACGCTATGCCTTGAAGTGGACGAAGCGAGTCTCCTGCTGCAGGCCTCGGTGGTGGGAGAGGACAAGGCCGAGGCGGCGCGTGCCCTGGGGTGCGAAGGGCGACGGTGAGTCGAGTCAAGCTTCGAAGGGGCTACGTATGTCGTTCGTTGTTTAGATAGCTCTTCTTCTGATGTTGCCTCCCGCCGCCGTTGTCGTTGTTGTGAGAGGCCACGAGGTTTGGAAATCCAGATTCATGCTTTTCTGCGCTTCCGCCCCTGCTGCACTGCTTGGAGCTGCTGTCCGTAATTTCTTCGTTGCCCACTTGCCCACACACGCATCACCCCTCCTAGCCTGGGCCGGCGAACAGCAGAACTCGGCATTGCAGGGATGCGAGGTCCATGGTCTAACGACTACGGCACCTCCCCCCCCCCCCCCCGCCCCCCCTCCCCTAGGGACATTAAGTGGCTCGTCGAGAGCATGGCTTCCTCCCGGGGAGAGGCGGGACGGCGGTGGCTAGGCTGGCTCAATGACGGCCTGTCCCTCCCGTTCAGCGGCACCCTCACGCTCGCGGGGCTAGTCGCTGTGCTGCGGCCGCTGATGACCTCCAATGCCTCGGGCTCGGGTCGGGGTAGGGGCGGCGAGGAGGACGGGGGGGTGGGGGAGGTGCTGAGTCCGGCGAGGATGCAGAGCACGATATGGGCCGTGCAAGGTATGTGTGTACGCGGCGGGAAAGGGTTGAGGGATACAGGAGGGAGGAGGATTGGAGGAAAGCATGTTCGGAATGCGCCGGCTGTCTTTTTGGCTCCACTCTTTTGTCGGTTTGGGTTGAGTGTTGGTGGTAGGGTTTTCGTTGTACACAGCCATACTTCCTCTGTAAGTCTGTTGCGTTGTGGCCGAGAAGTTTTTTAGGCGGATGAAAATAAACAGTCGAAATATCCCGGTTTGTGGGTGTTTCTTGAGAATTTTTGTTCGGGTGTTATTTTGTCCCTGTACCCTCGCCGAAATGGGGCAAAACATCACGTGCAAAATATGGCCATTTTTTGGCGGCCTGATTTTTTTCGGCCGGTCGTCCGTGCAGGGATAACTCGCGAATAAAAATAAAAAATAAAGGATTTTAACCCCAAAAAAGTTCAAGACTGCGAAAAACTCGCCGCCGAAGGCATCGGACACGGTTTAAGTATGCCCCTATGTTCTATGTTTCTTTTTCTTGCGCAATATGTCCTGTCTTTTTTTTGCTCCGCGGACGCATGGACTTTCTGCTGCTCTCTACGGTTTGCGTGCGTCTCGCCTTTCTCGCCAAAGGGGATCGATTCGCTGTGGGACGGACGCTGGTGCAGCGCCCCGCCAGTTCGGCGAAAGCCCGATACGCCTGCCCTCCGCCTTAACTTTATCCAACGGTTTGTTCCTCTGCAAGGGAAGGAAGACGAAGGGTCTATTTGGTAGATCCACGGCGTTCGATTACCATGGACCACCTCCCTGACCCGTCCTCTTTGTCCCACCAATAAACCTACAATTTCGCCATCTACTTGTGTGTGTGTTTTATTATTATTAGCATCGACCGCGCTAACCGGCTGACCAATGAACAGACGTCAGTCGCCGCGGGTAAAATCAAGGTCCCTGAGGGGATGTGTGTGTGTTTGTGTGTTTTCTCTCTCGTCCTCATGCCCTGTTGCCCGCCGTGTGTGTGCACGTGTTTGTGTCAATCCTTGCTGTCCGCCTTGCGTGTGCGTGCCGTGGGTATGTTATGATATGATAGGCATGAGCGCGCTAGTGGTGTGCGCGCCCGGTGAGTCTAGGATGTGGTCCCTCGACACCATGCTGCCGGTGGTGCTTGGCAGCCTCTCCGGCCTCCTGCTTGCCGTGCAGGACCGGAGTCGAGGACAGGGCGGAGGGGGCGGCGACGAGGATGGCGACCGGGAGGTGAGGAGACAAATCAGCTCAACCATCGCCCGCCCACCGCCCGCCCACCCGCCGGTCCGATAAAATTTCGTTGGAGGGCTGTTTGTTTAGTGTCGTGTCGGGTGTTTTGCCCCGCCGCCGCCGCGGCCGCCGCCGTTTTTTTCGGCCGAAGAGTCCGGACTGAGAGGCGAGGTGGACCGGCGTTCTCTGGTTCGCGAAACTTGGGTAGGTCGCGGTTTGCCTCCCGCGCGGAGAACCTCTGCCGATGTATGTAGGTATCGGCAACGACGGGTCGCCCCCCCCCGCGATGCTGCTCTGTAGAGGGAAGGGGCTTGTTGCTTGGGTCACGAGCGCGATCGATGTCCTCGTGCTCACACTCAAGATTCTTTCGATCGTACATGTTTCAGCGTTCGGTGCAGATTGGTTTGCCTCTCGCTCTCGCCCACACTTGCTTCTTCCGCATGCATATGGTAGCCCGCCGCGGTTCGTTTTTTCTGGTCGGGGCTCAGTTTTTTTTCGCAGTCTGTGCAGCGTGGTTCCGTGCACCTTTTGGTGACGTCTTCTGTGGATTCGCCCTTTAGCCAGCTTGTTGTTGTTGCTCTTTTCGCTGTTCGTTGCGAAGAAGGAAGGTATATACTTGACGCATGCAGGGTGTGGTAGAAAGGGTGCTTTCTTCTTGTAACGATGTGGTGCTGACAGCAGAACACGATGGTGGGGCGGGCCCTTTTCTCGTTACAGGCGGTGGCGACGGAGGGTGTGCAACAACCACAGCAACAGCAGCAGCAACAGCAACAGCAACAGCTTCTGGTGTCGGCCCTGGAGGAAGCCCTGACGAGGGTGTCATGCAAATACCGGAGCTGCTTGCCAGACTTCCGCTTCCCGCCGGTGTACGCGGAGACAATCAACCGCTTCTGCGCCTCCTGACGTTTGGTGGACCCACCTCCCCCCCCACCCCCGGCGGGCTTTATTGCTCCGGCCCCCAACCCCCCACCACCGGAGACCCGCGTGTGCCGGATGGCATGTGGTGCAATGGGGCTGGTCTAAATACCCACCTCTAGATTCGTTACTAGATTAGGCGCAAAGTTTTTTTTTTTAGTGTGTTCGCACCGCGGTTGTTTGTTTTTGGATGATAACGTTTCGTGGTTATCCATGCAGTACTCTAGGTACGCGCATCAAGAAATGAATTGTGTTGGCACCCTATTAATAGTGAAAAGCATCAGTTGTATGACCTGGGGGGTGCTTACAACCCCGCTGCTGCTGCTGTTCCTGTTGGTGCTGACGATGGAATCGGTTCTGGTATTTACGGGCGCGCATTGCACACCACGTTCTACAGCTACCTGCGGATTAAAAAATCTGGCTTGCTTGCTCGCTGTTACGGGAGAGAGGTGATGGTGTGATGATGAACGTATTCATCCCCACATGGTAGGCCGCAGTGGGTGCGTTTTTTGGTCGATCACGACCACAGCTACAATAGCTTAATGTTCGCTCTCGTCTCCCCCCCCCCAAGGAGCGAAGCGATCGATCGCTCACAGCTTTCTGCTATACCGATTTAGAGACAGGCGCCTGCCTCTCTTGCTTGCGCGTTGGGGGAGTGGGGATGGGGAAGACTTGAGTCGCGACGGTTTCAAAGTGATGATACTCGGGGGGGGGGGGGGGGTTTTTCGGGGTGGGCCCCTTTTTTTTAACCGCCGGGGGGGGAATTCCCCCCCAAGGAGGCCCCCCTGGGGGAAAAATACCTGGGGGGGGGGGGGGGGGGGGGGGAGGCCCCCTTCCCCCCCCTTTTTTGGCCCCCCCAAAAAAAGGGGGGCCCCCCCCAAACCGGCCCCCCCCCCCTTTTTTAAAAACCCCAACTTTTTTTCGGCAAAAAAAAAACAGGGAAAAAAGGGGGTTTTCCCCCCCCCCCCCCCCAAACAAAAAAAAAATTCAAAAAAGGGGGCCCCCCCCCCCCCCCCTCCCCAAAAAGGGGGGGGGGGGATTTTTTGAGGGGGGTTTTTTTTTTTTCCCGAAAAAA